CCCTTGACAAATTGTCATGGGCAAGGGGGCATTGTTCTACAGTTGTCTCAGTTTGGGTTGAGTGCTCACCTCCAAACCAGACCCTGTGATGGAGAGAGAGACCAGTTGAGCAAATGGCAGCTCCCATTTGAACCATGAGATGCTGTTTTGTAAAGAAAAATCAAGTGTTGTTTCCCATAGAAGGATGGTGTGCTGGGAGACAAGTGACAAATATACTATATTCTGGAATGCGACCATGATGACTGGAAGTGACCATGAGTCCAAGAACCAATACTAAGGTTGGCAGGACAGGAAGACAGAGGACACCCAGGTCCTTGATGATATCCTGGAGTCGCTTTGCCAGCCATGTATTACCTGTATTACCAACCTCTAGACCTCTTGCTATATGAGAAAAAAATCCCAAATTTAGCTAAACCATTGTAGTCAGGTTTCTGTTTTCTTTTTCTTTCTTTTTTTTTGGAATCAGAGTCTCACTCTGTTGTCCAGGCAGGAGTGCAGTGGCATGCTCACGGCCAGCACGGCCTCGACCTGCTGCGCTCAGAAAATCCTTCTGCCTCAGCCTATCCTTCTGCCTCAGCCTATCCTTCCACCTCAGCCTTCCAAATAGTTGGAATTACAGGTGCGTGCCACCATGCCCAGCTAATTTTTTGATTTAGTGTAGAGATGAGGTCTCACCAAGTCATCCAGACTGGGAGGTTTCTGTTTTCTACAGTCTAGTGCAGTTCCTTATAGACACACTTCTTGATAGCCTTCTATTGTTTTGTTTTGGATTTTTTTTGAGCTGGAGTCTCACTTTGTTGCCCAGGCTGGAGTGCAGGGCACACTCACAGTCACCGTAGCCTCAACTTACTGGGCTCAGGTGATCCTTCCGCCTCAGGCTTCCAAGTAACTGGAACTACAGGCACATGCCACCATGCCCAGCTAATTTTTTGACTTATTGTAGAGATGAGGTTTCACAAAGTTGCCTTGGCTAGTCTTGAACTCATGGGCTGAGGCAATCCTCTCACCTCTGCCTCTCAAAGTGCTGGGATTATAGACATGAGCCACTGTGCCCGGCCAGCCTT